GCAATATGAACGTTTTTGGGAGCCTCTTAGCTTCTTCCTCTTTGCTCTCATCAAACCTCTTCTCTGGGTATTGTTTTTCATCATTGACCTGTGTCATAGACTTTATATGACCACATCAGTTTTCATTATATATTTATCTTTTCCGTGACATCAAAAATCAAATTTGCAAGAAAATATGTAACAATGGAAACAAAGCATTAAAACAATAAATGCTGGCACCCACATTTATTTATTTTCAGTTTGAAAAAGATGTGCTTTTTACCATTTTTTATTCAAATTGGACGCAATGAAATTGCCCCGGGTACCCCCGACTCCAGTTGCCATAGTAACTATAATATTAACCTATCAGATGTCAGAAGTTATATATTTATATGTTTTAATTTAGAAATGTACAAGGTATATTCTGACCAAATTTCAGGATATTTGGACCAATATTTACAAAATGCCAGATACTTTTACCTTATTTATTGATCACCCTGTACAACATGTTTTTAGACCTCTCAATATTATAGTTATACAAAGGAATTTTTGGTTGATTTTAAAAAAGTATTCAAAAAATTAAAACAAAATCCCCCAAAATAGATAAAAATCAAGATAAACCTTTTATTTCATTTACAAGATACTTTTTTAAAATCAACCAAAATTTCCTTTGTACAATTACAATATTGAGAGACCTAAACATGTTGTGTTTATGTCGTTTTGTTCCAATGAGGTTCGGAAAGATGTTTCATTTCACTCTGGAAACATGATACCAAGAACAAAACAAAAGTGTTTGATGTGTTTTCTAAAACAATATAGATGAAAGTATATATATATTTTTCAAATTGTATTGTTACCATTCAAAAGATGACCATTAAATTGATGATGTGTTAAATTTTTAGATTTTTTTTATGACTGGTTTAAGAGAAACGTTTGTTCAAAAAGTTCTCCATATCGATACCACTCCTTTACCTTGGAGGAAAATTGTTGTGAAAATTTAAATTGAATTTACTGCAAAAAATTATATTGCATCAGTTAGTAGATTTAATTTTTTCAAAAATATGGCTTTGATTTGAAATATGGAAATGAGCTTGGATGCACTAATCTTGTTCAGCTGGTTTTCACCAGATTGAGAACAGGTTTCACGTAATCGATCTGTCGCTGAAATTGAAATATAAGAAATGCACATTTATGTGACGCAGTATGATAAAAAAATTGATGTACAGCAGATTCATTTTTTAAATTTGGAAAGCCAATGTAATTAGCAAGCCATTATGAATTATGGGTTGACCTTACCTCTTATTAACCTTTCATTGTAGCTATCATTTAAATGTAACTAAACCTTTTAATGACCCCAATAACATCAGGTAGCATCGAGTCTCAATTGCAATTTATTGAGCTTAATACATTAGGGCAAATTTAGATTTTGACCAGCATCATCTAATAAGAAATGGGAAAACAGTTTTTTTGACTGCAAGTGTGGAAATAGTATATCGAAGATTGTATTTCATGGCCCCTCACAAAAACTCAGCAGGGTAAAGATATACACACAAAAAGCCCAGTCTGTATGTAGGTTTTTGTATAACAATTCAACTAGCAATTGGTTGCTACAACGTCATTGATACCAAAAACCAATGTGCCCAAACCATAATTCACTTATCACATGGAGCCCAGCTAATGTGGAAACTAACAAGGCGACCCAAATTTGAAGTCTGAAAAAAATGTTTCCATGGAAAAAATGTTGGGGCACTAAAACCCAAAATTGGGCCCAAAGTTTGAAAATTTAAGGCCCATTCATAAAAAATTTGGCCAAAAATTAAAGAAAAAAAGGGCCAAGTAATGCCCAAAAAGGCCCACTAATCTGCCAGTGTGACTGATATGAGTCAGTGCATTTCATTCTGTAACATTGATCATTTATGATTATGTGCATATTCCTCAATGCCTTTGGCATTTTACTTAGAAAAAAGCAGCGTCTGACAAGAATTTTCTTTTTAATTTGAAATTACTTTAACATGTCGGAAGAAAAAAGTGTTTGAATCCGCAAGAAAAATAGTTTTAAGTTTTGTTGTTAAATAAACGTTTAATGTGTACATGCTTACAAAACCGTAGTATGATTTACAAGGTAGTTTGACCTGCATTATCAAGACCAATCTAGCTTTGATCAAATTAACAATTCAGCACCCGATCGTTATCTTTTACATGTATTGTTCATTTTGCATTATTGGTGATAATTGCATGTTAAATTGTTGTTGTCTGATTTCACACCTTTACTTTTAATTATAGATGACCTGAATGTGACTTGTACATTTGTTGTCTAATTACACTTGGTTGCTGTGTCATCTTCTACCCATGGGTCTTCTACACAAATTTTGAAATATTTCATTGGTTTAAACATATGAAAAGGCTGTGGGTGTGAATCACCCGATCGTTGGCCCATATGTCAAAATTTTTTAAATGCAAACTGCCTATTGTCTGATAGCCTATGAACTAATGCTTGTATCCCTTAGATATATAGATAAACATAGATAATATAGATAAACAAAAAATAAGAATATTGAAAAAATCTGTGATTGATAAGACCCCTTTTCCTATGGCCTGGCTCAAATATTGAATTAACATTTCAAAACTACCGTATACAAATACGGTAAAACCTGCGGACAAGGAGCGGTAGGCAAAATTGTTTCTTGTCGACAGATATTTGCCACAGAGAGTCTACATGTTTTAGGCCAGCCCCAAACACTATTGATGTGTCCTAAGACGATGCTTGATATTCAAGTTTCTTCCTATTTGCGCCATTTTTGAATTCAACAGATGGCTGATGGATTAACATACTAATTTATGTCCAACTCACTCAAATATGCATGGAATATTGGCTAAATAAAGTCCTCTGTTAGATTCTTGCTTTATTTAAGCGATCTTTACCGTATTCTCTCCAATAAGGATACATATCATTATTGTAAAAATATGCTGTCACTTTCGTTGAAAATAAGGGATTTTTGGCCAGAAAAGTCCCATACATGAAATTCCCATGGATTTTTGACTTCTCTCTTATATGGGCGCTCTTTGTAATGTGTTACAGTGTGAATTTCAATTTCAAAGGCGCCCTGGGCGCTTAAAACGGCGAATACGGTATATGCCATTTGCACTTTTCCAACATTTTAAAGGCCATGTGTGAAGTTTGAAAATATTGTTTAATTATCAAATTAATATTATTTTTTCATGACTTAGAATTGTCTTGAGGCATTTTTCGAAAAAGGATTAATGATCTCAAATTTAAAATATTTAAATCCCCTTTTAGGAAGCAAAGTTTAGATTTTTAGATCATGGAATGTAACATTTTACATTGTAAAACACATTATTTTCTCTACTTCATTTGGTAGATTAATCTACCATAATTATATTTTTTGTCTAAATCTCTCATCATAAAAATACATTGGCATGATATTGGATACTGTACATGTGACAAAGAAAACCTTATTATTAGTAAATTCACATTTCTATAGAATTGGTAACATTTCGATAATTAGCCTAAGTGTTTTCAAGTGTATTCCGTCAGAGAGGTGTTACTGTATATAGAAACAATAGAGGAAAAGTATATGTGTCTTAATTTAAAACGATTTTTTATTTTCTTATTATTAAATACATTTTTAACATATTATTAAATAATATTTGTGATATATGATATTATTATTATATGATACATTCTTATGTTATATTCTACACTGCACAATCATTTTACATAAACCATATTCAACCACGTACTGCATTGATTATTAAATATTTTCAAAAAATATATATTTTATTTAAGTCATTGAAAATCTCTCATAGAGGGATGTGTTCTTTATCATCTCAAATATATAATATCTCAAAAAGATGACATGCTGTTTTCTTTATGTACATACTTTAATTAAATGAGGAACATATAAATGTTGAAATTTATATATTTTCACTAGATTTCTTAAAAATAGGAACAAAAAATCTGAAATTGAAACAATTTCTGAAACAGTTGCTCTATCTCCTATTCTATCTTTCCATGTACATGTCATTGACCGGAAAATCTGTATGAACTCAGGTAACAAACAACTATTTAACAATGAATATTGATTTATCATTACTGCTGTGTGGGAGGTCAGATTTTAACATTTAGCAAATAAATTGGCCACATATGTTTATAGTCTTCTTTCATCATAGTTTTGTGATAAAGTACTCACAGGATGTCAAAATTAAATTTTTGTGAGTTGCTGGAGCATGCCCTTTTACTTTGAATTATCAAGAATTTTACCAAAATTTACCTTACCAAAATTATAAAGACATTGATCTCTTATTGTAGTCTGTAAATGCATCAATTACTGGATATGCTATGTTCAATTCGCTTTTTAGCTACATATATTTTCACTGTAGAAGGACAAACTTGTTTCATATTATGCAAATTGATGTTTTACTTAAACATAGTAAAACTAGAGAGAGAACCACTTGTCATTTAAATAATGGATGATTTCGTCAACCATATAGCATTCTATTCTATTTTAAAAAAACTATTGATTTTTGATCATTGATTACATGAACTTTTAAAACTTACCGCTTGATACAGGGCGACCCAAAAATTTTAATTCATATTATTAGAACTAAATGCAACTACTTGTACATACACCAGATATACAGTATATCATTAATTGTGCTCTAGATATGCCAGCAGTCTATGGACAAAAGTATTTGTATCTCTAGTATGCTACTCTGTGTTAAATTACTCTCTTTAAAACCTGATGTTATAATGATTATATCATTATTTGTTCCCTGTACCCTGTAGTCATGAATGGCAAACTGCTCTTTGTCTCTTCAAGGGTGGGCTATATATTTCTCATAGGTTATGGGAACTTCACGAACACCTTTGACACTTGGTGTTTCATTTCTGTGGTAAGTAGAACACGTCATTTACATTTCTATTGACTGAGGTGTTCCACGAACAGAAGTGTACCACAGGTTTCACCTTATTTTGAATATCGATTTATGAAATTCAGTCTTCAGTAGGTGTGCTATCAGAATGTCAAGATCATGAGAGACAGTCATGATTTTAATTCAGAAGAGAATTTAGGAACTTTGTTTCATCAAGTGTCTGATTCTGATTTCTTTCTGTTTGTTGCTAACTGTCCATTTGAGAAATAATTGTTGACTCTCTTACATTGCAAGTCCAACATGTTTGAAATAACATTGTTATTGTTTTCATGAAAGTGAACATGAGAATTGTCTGTCCCAAGATTTTCAATATCAGCACAGGATTTACTATGGTTTAGTCTGATCCGGCTCTTCTGTTGTAGTTCCATATAGTGTGTGTATGTGTATAAGATAGCTCCTCCAACCACAAGCATGTTACTCAGCCACCAGAGGATCGCCTTCTGTTCACGATAATAGGAGACTGCGATCAGGGTCTGAACGATACCCTTGGTACTAGCGCTGATGTGGTGTGTCACGGGAGAAGTGATGTGAATCTGGAATGCACTGATCCAAGCCATCATTGCCCCCAGAATACCAGCTCCACTCAATAACAACCAGAACCATACATCACCAAAGCGATCACTTGCGATGACAGTGTAGCCCTGCTTGCTAACTATAACAATCGGCAAGAAGAGAAGACTGGTGTTTAAATTCATATAGAGAGTCAACTGGAGGCTATCATTACTGACCATCTCCAGATTCTTCTTAGTGTAGATCCCAACAAGAGCGACGAATATACTGGAGAAAAGTCCATATAGTACCCCACTTAGCGATAACGCCCCAACTAAGTTCTCCTGGTCAATGCCCAGTACAAAGCCACATGCGATCATTAAACAACACAGCCAGGCTCGACAAGTCAAATGCTTCTTAAGCAACACCATCGAGAATAAACACGTGAAAATCAAAGTAAATGATTTAGCAACTTGGAAAAATGCCACGCCCACATGTTTCAAGCAGAGATTGTTGAATATGGTTGCTCCAACGAAATACACTGATGCAATCAGCATTCCCTTTGATAAAATAATGTCTTTGCATATCAAAGACTTCTGTGGATTTTTTGTGCAAGAGTGTCTTCCTAGTGTGACAATACTCACGATAGCTGCGCACACACATGCTTGGAACCAGGATACAAATATTGAGATATCTTGGTCTGTATTTTTTGTTCCCACTAAATGTTTGTTAGCAAAGATTAGAGTTATGCTTGTCATCCAGAATGCTAGTACAACAAGTCCAACCTTCATGCACTTAGACATGGTTGTTTTATCCAATGCTAAAGATCCAAGCAAAAATGATCCATCCAAAATGTATTTATCGTAATCTCTCTTCCAAGTTTAGTGAACTGAGTGATGCAGTTCTTGCCGGCTCTTTCTGGGCATTCACCAACTACTGTTTCAAATGTAATTTAAAAATGTTTATTTCAAGCTGGTCTGATCAATGAAATCACTATCAATATTTGAAATCAATGTCTCACACAGCTGTTCAATAACAGAATTGCACAAACATGTGTCTGTATGTACTAGATATTATAGTACATGTTGTCTCTGAAAATGTTACTTTTTCTCATTTATCCTTTTTCAAAAGTATATTAAATTGTAAACCAGTGTTATAAAATTGAACTTTTTTTGACAACTAAGTTCAAAGATTAAATTATTTGCTTGTTTATTGATTTCATTTACGTCATTCTCCCACGTAGTTACTAACACTAATTGAAAGAAGAATTGGCAATTATATTGATCATTTGTTATTGATGAGTTTCATCAAGTGAAAAACAAGTGGTGCTTTAATTTAAGGAGAAAGTATTAGTTTTCATGGATTGGAAATGCTGTTTAATAGTATGGGCTGTGAAGGTGTATTTGAAGGTTCAATATGCAAAATTTTACAAATTCTAATCCTTCCCTCTTCCTTAAATGATCACATTCACAGAATTGGCAACATAGCTTTTAAAAATTACAAAAGAGTACTTCGTTATACCCTAATTAATGAGTTTATTCAGCTGAACTTGAACCGTCCTGAATTTAGGTAGATAACCTTCAGTGATATAAATGAAATGTACAATTTATTTCGTCATTCAAAGGTTGCCTAGCTTTCAATCATTCTACTTGATCGATTTGAGGCATGTACCTGATGCATGATCATTTACCAGCCAAATGGAAAATTACATGTATGTGTAGTAACAAATAAACATGTAGTAATTGGGGAATTTGGGTGATATTAAATAAATTAGGTGATCACTGCATTTGATTATGATGTATTTTGAAGCGAAGACTTTCGAATATCCCCTTGAACCTGTTGCACTACTTGTAGGGTCAAAATTGGGAAGCCTTTTCTTTTTTTCTTTCGGAAACATTTAAACGATGTGTCAAACAGGACTGTTCATTTGTTGAAATGTTTTGATAAAAAATGTGTCTCTATTCTCTTCATATGGATGTAAGTCTTATATGTAGGTTCACCAATGTTTATTTTTGATGAGTATTTTGATTTGATGACTACTGTTCTTTCTACATGTTCTGATGAATGGCTAGTGGCTACATCAAAGAACTATCTCCAATATATTGAGGTAGTTCTTCTTTGGGAAATCCCTTTTAAATGGGAAATCCTTTTAATGGGAACTCATATCAGTGAAAATGCCAATTGTCTGATGTTTGTACTAATTGTTTGCTTGACTGATATTGTACATTGTTTTTATTGTACATTGTTTTTATTGTACTTGTAGGCTATAGCACTTTTCCATGATACAATGCACAGATTGATGAGGTTCTCATTCAGCTTAGACATCAGTTTGTCTCTGGTATGTAAAAGAAATATGTTTGGACTGTTGGGATGTAAAAAAGTAACTTCATAAAATAGTTCTATTGTGATCTATCTTTAAAAACGAACACTGGATTATTGTACTGTGCATCCAACATAAAAAAGATCACCATATAGATTTCACAATGAGATGAGAAATATGTACAGCATTAACATGACAAAATACTGTTACTTAACATTATTTAATGGAAATGTTAATGAAATTGTGAAGGATTTTTATAACTGATGGGATCACCAGATTTGTCCACTGATCACGCTTTTCTAAGTCACTGTTCAGTATAGTGGCCGTAACCTTCTCAGAATTTATTTTCTAATTCAGATGTTTCATTATATCAAAAATAACTTGCTCCAAGCAATGTGCACAGATGCATATTATATGCGTGCAATCTTTAATTCTGTTAAAATCGAATAATTCGATCTAGTCCAACTAGCTGGCCCACATTTTATTAAAACTAAAGACAAAGTTATTACATTTCTCTGCTTGAATATCTTCCTTTAAAATAATGTTCTCAGAACCATTTTGAAGTCATTGTTGTATGTCTGTTTTTCTCACATGTGTTCCCAGTATTATAATCCTGTTTAAATTCATACCATTTCTGTCAGCGTAAAATTTCTTTTTTTGTTATCTATTCTAGGTTTACAACCAGTTAGATAGCAACACAAAGGAGAACAGAGCTATGATATATGCATAAACGTAGGAGCATGCAGGATTTGAACTGTTTAGGCCTCTTTCTGGAGACTTAATGATCCTGTATGCATATATGTGGTGCTTTTCTTTGAAGACATCAACTGCTGCAATAATATTGAATTGAATAAGTGATCAAAAGTCAAGGGAGGAATGATACGTACTGTAGAAATATGGATGTATCAGTGAAGGAGAAAACTTGTCCTTACATATATCTTTTCTGTGATATTTACTACTGCCATCTTTAAATGGCTATCTTTTGTAAAAATGAAATCATGTAATATATCATCAGACATAGTACAGTTTATCCCATACATGTACTTTGTGGATTTAGGGAAAATAACATTTTAGAGGGATGTATTATGGAATAAATAGGTTATTTCTGGTCGGGATGGAATATTGTTTTTATTCCTCGGAAATTATGATATTGACCTTTGGCAATATCATATTGACACTCAGTCGCTTTGCTCCCTCGGTCAATATCATATTACCATTCGGTCAATATCATATTGCCCCTTGGAATAAAACCCATATTCAATCCCTCCCAGTAAATAACCCATATATATCTAAATCTGGATATATTCTCTAAGCCTGTAGGCAGACATATACATCTGCCCACTTTTAGGAACTAAAGTTTCAATTGTAGTTGTGTAGTACTGTTGCATTGTTAGATTCTTAAACATGAAAAAAATTGTTCGTAAATTATTGATGGAATCACAAACGTTTGCCATAAAGATGATGTCGAAAATGATGTTAGCAGCTAAACACCTACGATTGGAAAATCACATCATAGTTAAGAGTTACATATATTTGAGACGTTTCAAGTGTGAGGTATACCAGTCTGTTAATATCCAGTGCCTTTGATATGTATATTTTTATTAACATATTTTACATTATATTTTATGATCAGCTTATTTGTAATAATCAAACAATACATATTTTCACATATCCATCCACACAGAGTAAGTCATCAATCCATCCAATATACATATTTTTTTTGTAATGTTTAACAATTGTATATACACAGGTTTTTGTGAGAGCATTTATTTTGTAACTAACAGAAAAGATTATTTATTTACATTCTATGTGATATGACTATCATAATCATAATATGATATATTATTGTTAGGACATGGTTTGTCATACATGCTAAATAAATGTAGTATAGTATAAAAATGATATTCTCATGACTACTTTACACACATATTAACAATTGTACATTACTGTTTTTTAAGAGTCCGTCCTACAGTTGTTGCTTGAAATATGTATAGTTTAAGCGTAGTAGTGTACCTGATGATAGCTGTGTATTTTTATCGATGAGCTCTTGCTGTCACCAATGTTTGTGATCTTGTTTATGCATCCTCCTAAGCAGGTATCCAGAATCTGTACCCCCTCCTCCCCCTGCTATAACCAATTTGGAAGCGCCCGATTAAACTGAATCACGTGATCTTATTATGCGCAATGACTTATACATGATTTCTGTCGCAGTGTTGCGACAGCCAATCAGATTGCGAGTTCTTAATCGGGGAAAGGCTAACTGCTTATCGCAGGGGGTAAAAAGAAAGAATATATTCTGGATTTTGAAGCCCTGTGATCGGAGGATGGTTTTATGTCATTTCAAAATATAATTTAACGCCATGATTTTGTCAATAATTTCATGTTTTAAGGAAAACAGATATTGTAATGGCTTATACTGATATGGTCTGAATATGTTAACATTTACTATTCTTAAGAAGAAATTGTCACTACTGTACTAATTAATGTATGTTTTCAGATCAATGATGACAGTAAAATCTGTAATAGTGAGCTACATGTAGAGATGCCTTTTGTATTTTGAATTTTGAACATTTCATATGAATGTGTTCAACTTTTTTAGTTTTGCCATATAGTGTACACACAGTGGCTGTATATTTTTCTGGAATGTTTTTATTTGAGCATATTTTTATTGTTCTTGTCTACATTTTAAACATTGTAATTCTCAACAATGAAAGTACATGTACATGTAATAAATTCTCAATTATTAGCATATTATATTGTGTGGTTTTTATGTCACTAGAAGTTGTGACATATTCTAATTATACAATGTAGTTTCAAACTTTTTTTGTGGACGGTGTTCAGTGGTTGGTATCTGTAACAAATGGTAGGTAGTGAGATTTTGTATATGTTAATGCCTTGTTTTAATATTAATTGTTGAAACAACCAATGTGTCCCAGGTTTCCAACTCGTTATTCTTCAACATGGAGTCATGTCGTGATTACATAATTCAAAATCAAACAGCCGCCATTTTTTTACTTTAGAATTTGAATCGCAAATAATGGTCTTACTTCCGAACAAAAAATTCAAAACACAAAAAGTGATCAATATATTAGTTCAAATCTTTTAGATCACTGATGATGAACTTATAGTCAGTTTTAATGTTAGAAAATAACAAAATTTCCAAAATTGTCGTCGATTAAGGTCAAGGTCAATATCGAGTTGAAACCCTGAGAGCCAATCCTCCTTGGTATTTGGAGGTCCTGGAATGTCAATGTGATGTGCTTAGATTAAGGTATTCTGATTAAGGTCATCTTGTACAAAAATTCTTAATTTGAGACTAAGAGTTTCTTGAAACTATAATAATGCCATGATTAGTAAATGTCATGCTTCAAGGTCAAAATAAAAAGAAAAGTCAAATGTCAAGGTTTGGGAAGGTATACATAATGCATTATATAATGAAGTGATGGAAGGGGAGGTCACCAAAGCGGATACCTTGGGATAAGGAATACCAAAGTCAATTGCATATTCTGTGTTTTCTGCCACCCTGACAGGTTGCTGATTGCAAGATATAAATATATGAGTTAGCAGGTTTTAGTTCTTTCTGACCAATTGCATGTTTCTAAAATGGAAAATAGAATTAGGATGCATTTTGAAAAGATGCCAGTGTTACACTCTCTTTGATGTATCCTTTCTATTCCTTCAATTTCAATTGTCTAAAATGGGCAGTGACTATATATTGTCATGAAGCTGAGCTAAGTTTGAAATATTGGCCATTTTTTTTTTATCGAAATCAGGAACCATAAAATTTTTGTTTTTAATTTCTGTGGTATACGAGTGTTATACGATACAGCAAATATGAATTAAACATTAACATCATTTTATTACTATAGTACCCATGAAATTCTTTGACAAAATAGTCCAACAAAGTGCTACTAATTCTATTTTTGATGTTACACAGTTTATGATTAAAATTGCTCATTTAATTTGATATTGGAGACTTAATAATGTTTTGTAAGACAATCTTTACCAGAAATGTGTTTAAGCTGAGAAAATGAATGATAGATTTGATCATTTTTGAACAAATAATGCTTTTAAATGGCCGTAGAGAATGACCAGATCAGCCTGACCTTGAAGTTTTAACACAGTGCATGCATTTCACCCAAATATGGAAAGTGCAAAAATAGACATGTCAATCAAATCTCGAACTGTTTAAAGAAATTGAAATTCAGTTTGATTTGAGGTTCTGCTTTATTCTATCTATTAAGATAGTCAAACTGTCTTATATAGTGCATTATGAACTTTACAAAATAATACAATTTGATGATTATGATATAGATCATCATGCATGATCATGCATGATCATGACCTATTTTACAGTAATTGAATTTTAATTCTATTTATAGCTCAAAAGTTTCAATAATAAGGAAAAACAAAAGGGACTTTTGATTCATTTTAAGATAAATATACCATTCTAGTAGTTTCTCTCAAAAACATTGAAAACTGATACCTCTAAGGTATAATTGTTGGGAGTGGCTCCAGGACCGACAATTGTCGGTACTGGAGACTGTCCAGGGGTATTTGCTGGGGTACCGACAATTGTCGGCACTCTATCGTCACCTAGTAGTGCCAGATAGAGAATCGACAATTGTCGGTACGCAAGTGGCTGCTACTTGTTTTTGCTAGAGAGCCGACAATTTCATAAATAAATCCACTACTTTTACTCTTAGAGATAACCTCATCACTGGTAGTCTAGTGGTTAGCGAGCACGACTCGAACACGCTCGGTCCCGAGTTAGAATCCCGGCAGGAACTATTTTTTCTTTTGAGGGGGGAGGCATAGTGCTCCTTTTGCAGTATGGAATCGTACAGGCATTAACTTGTAGTGAGCCATAATTTATTTCGACAAAAATTGATTCAACTTCCATCAAAATTGTCCTACAAGCTTCAATTAAAAAACATTTTAAAGCTCTTTTCTTGTTCTATCTAATGGGTCGATATATACAGTTAGGGGAGGGGATTGCCCCCGTCGACCTCTACCCTTACTACGCCATGGCACAGGAGAAATATCTCATTTGGAATATATCACTGTTAACATTGCGTTTGGTAGCTCTCTCATTCGAGATGGAATCGTGGCCATTAACTAAGTGAGCCAAATGCAACTTCCATCAAAAATTGTGCTATAAGGTATGAGTACCGTAATCCAACACCAAATTCGAAAATTCATAACAATACTTTGCACATATGGCGTTCATGACCAACTATGAAACGCTTACCCCCCATAGTGTTATATATCAAAATGCACCTGTCCATATAGGGGTTCGATTGACCTACATCAAATTATAGGGAGTCAGGTTACTTTTTGAGATATCACTTCCTCAATTCTGATATGACGGGCAAACGCGTAGTAAACATGCTCACGTTCGGAACTATTTTGACCTACATCGCTATTTTCGTAATTCAAATGAAAGTTGAACTCCTCTTTATTTTGATACCAAATAGTGGCATACTAGGTACCCTAGAAGCCAACTATGGGTTATTTAGAACGATACCACAGGTTTTTAAATGGACTATATCACAGGCTGGTATCGAAAGATTTGTCCGCTGTGACGGAGCATGCTATTTTTCGTAAAAACACTAAGAATGCTTCACACTTTATTTTTTTACTCATATGTTTCGTTACATCAAGGAAAATTACTTGCTCCATGCAATGGATATATCATTTGCGGGTAACCTTCACTTCTGTTTTAAGTCCAATAACGCCAGGAGTAAAAGCTATTGAAAACGGCGCAAGAGTATCAAACTCTAAAATGTACCATTTCTTTTTAAACTTTTTAATGGCATGATATAGTGACACGATAATATTAAAATATGTTTTCAGCATAAATGCAAAGGTATTAATGAGATATTAACGCATTACGTCTTTTTAATTTTTTTTATAAAAAATAATACGAATATTTTTTGTCCGCTGTGACGGAGCATTCTCACAGTTTACATTTGCAACTGCTCCGTCACAGCGGACAAAAAAATAAACATTATGTTTTATAAAAGAATTAAAAAGACCAAATACATCAACATCTCATTTATACCTTTATAGTAATGCTGAAACCATGTGTAAATAATATTGTGTCGCTATATCGTGCCATTAGAAAGTTAAACAAGAAA